TTTGAATAAAATAATAATTCCCAGGCAAGTGACGCAAATAAATGCCACTAGATTTGAATTGCATGGTTTTTCTGATGCATCACAAGTAGCATATGGTGCATGCATTTATATAAAATAATATAGTTCAAGTAATACGTATTTCTACAAAACTTCTCTGTTCCAAGTCAAAGGTTGCACCACTTAAAACTTTAACCATACCAAAGCTCGAATTGTGTGGAGCTTTATTATTAGCTCGTTTGGTTAAAAGGGTAAAACAATTGTTAACGATCGACATTTCGGAAACCTTTTATTGGTGTGACTCCATGATTTGCTTGGCTTGGATAAATTCTGATCCTAGCAAGTTTAAAGTATTTGTATCCAATCGAATTGCAGAAATTCAACAGCTTTCTATTGCACAAAGTTGGCACTATGTCGAGTCAGAAAATAATCCTGCCGCGGGGTACCAGTGCTGAAAAATTACAAAATTGTAAATTATGGTTTGAAGGCCCTAAGTTTATTTCCGGTGATATAAAAATGTCTGAGGCACAATTAAACATCCAAGCTGATATTTTACCAGAACAAAAATGCTTAATAAACATAAATAATGATCAATGCGATCCAATATTTCATAAATTTTCTTCTTTTACAAAATTAAGAAATGTTATGACTTATGTTCTACGTTTTATAAATAATACAAACAAATTATAACCCAAATTTACTGGAAATTTGTTAATAAATGAGCTCACTAATGCTACAAATAAATTAACAAAAATGGTTCAACATGCTGAATTTAAAAATGATATTATATCCCGTAAGAAAAACAAATGTGTAAGTAGGAACAGTAAATTAACTTCATTATTTTCTTTTCTTGATAAAAATGATATGATTAAATCTTGCAAAGTTGGAATATAATCATAGTCACCCATTTGTGCTCCCGAGTAATCACATTTTTACCAAATTAATAATTAATTATGAACATATAAAAATTTGCATGCTGGGGCACAGCTTACATTGTATAATATAAGACAGCAATTTTGGCCTTTAAATGCCAGAAGCACAATAAGAAATGTTTTCGAACTCGTCCTTGCAACTTTCAACCACATATGGGGCAACTTCCCAGTAATCGAGTAACTCCAGCAAGGCCCTTTAGTGTTTGCGGAGTGGACTATTGTGGTGATATTTTAATTAAAAATTCTAAAATTCGTAATCGCACATTTGTAAAATGTTATTTGTGTATCTTTGTATGTTTTACAACTAAAGCAGTACACATAGAAATTGCATCTGATTTAACATCAGACAGTTTTCTTAATTGTCTGAAAAGATTTGTTTCACGTAGGGGTTGCCCAACAAATATTTCAAGTGATAATGGTTTAAACTTTGTGGGTGCCAATAATTCTTTATAAGAAATAGCTTCGTTTACAAATAATTCAGCCTTTACAAATTTCATCTATAATTATGGCATATCATGGCAATTTATTCCGCCTCGAACTCCCCATATGGGCGGTTTATGGGAAGCAGCAGTTAAATCTGCAAAAATTCATATAGTACAAGTTATAGGCAATGCAAAATTGTCATATGAATCTTTATTTACCCTAATTACGCAAGTGGAGGCTGTTTTAAATTCCAGACCAATGTATCCCATCGAGTGACCCCAGTGATTTTATGCCACTCACTCCAGGTCATTTTCTAATTGGTACTGCGTTGACCTCCTTGCCGCAGCACAATGTCCAGCAGGAACCGTCCAACAGACTATCACATTAACATCAACTACAGCAAATGGTCCAACACTTTTGGAATCGATGGTCAAATGAGTATCTTCATGGTTTGCAGCAGCGAACCAAGTGGCGGCTTCAACAAGCAGCTGAACCTATCGTGGGTGATTTGGCCCTTATTAAGGAGGACAATTTGGTCCCCTTAAATTGGAGACTGGGACGCATCGATCAAGTTATCCGTGGTTCCGATGGTGCCGTACGAGTTGTCGAATTGGGGACGACTGGTAACATTGTTAAGCGAGCTGTTCATAATATCTGCTTGCTTCCTCGCTACGTTGAAGATGGTTCAAAGCGTGATTTGGATCAACTGGCGACTGATTCTGACGCCAAAACAACAGCTGATTAAAATTAGTTTTTTTTTCTTTGTTCGATGGTAATTTGGTTGCTATTTATTGTAAAAATATATAATAAAAAACTTCATAAATTCAAGACGTCAATTTTTATCTAAAATAAAAATAAGTTAAAACAATAAATAGCTTTTATCATTAATTTTAATACATTTTTTCAAACACATTTTTTTTGCATTTTGGGGTAAGTTTGTATTTAATTCTATATAAGATTTTAACCAGGTTGATTGTTTGAATTTTAAAATGCCATGTGTTCTAATAAATATTAGTCCGTGAGATAAAGCTTGTTGGCAATTTTGAATTTGGGTGCTTTTAGTGTTCGGGGCAAAACGTTAAATATTTATGTAAATCATGCAAATTTTAAGGATACTTCAAATCAACCTCTAAAAAATAGCCGACGCGTAAATCATCTAAAATTTTAGACACATTAATGTTTTCATGATTTTCAACCCATTCAAACTTGTTTTGTTGTAAATATTGAGATAAACATAAAGAAAATTAACATCACATTAACAGTATAAAGTAAATAATTTGAAGGTTTTGAGGGATCATAAGCATCACCCATATATTTGTTTTTTGCCTCTTAATATCGATTACAACACTGGAAAACACTACCTCGAATAACTTTTATATTTGCGAACGACAACGATTTTATTTAAGCATGCGATCCCAAGTATATCCTGGTAAAGTATAATATTGCGCAGGATCATAGTACATATGTTTTAAAGCTTCTTTTGCGAATTGTTCTAGAACATCAAAATATTCACCTAAATTTTGAAAATTGAGTTTTCGCCAAACATAGGCAATGCCCATTGGGCATTATCATTTTTCGAAATATAACAATCATTTTATTTATTATAAAAAGCTGATTTTTCTGATAGGTAGCTTATTTTGCGAATTGTTCTAAAACATCAGAATATTCACCTAAATTTTGAAAATTGAATTTTCGCCAAACATGGGCAATGCCCATTGGGCATTATCATTTTTCGAAATATAACAATCATTTTATTTATTATAAAAAGCTGATTTTTCTGATAGGTAAGGTAAATTTAATTTTACGTTGAAATTTACAAAATTATATGAAAAAACACCTTTACGCTGTAAAAGATTTAATTTTTCGTCATTTAAATTTGCATATTTTATCTCTAAAATTGGATAAATATTAAAAAATATGCTAATGTAACTAAACTAGAGGCCATAAAGCGAAAGGATTTAATAAACTCTGTATACAATCTTTATTGCATATGTGACACTTCTCAGTGACATCCTTTAAATTTCGATGGCTTTTGTAAAATGCATCTCCTTATAATCATTTTTAAAATAATAGCCAGCGCTAAAGGCTTTATGCTATTGATATTTAGATTTTTTTAGAATTTTCATTATCATTAATCGGTAAAAGAATAGCCTTAAAGTTAGCATACATAAATTTTGTATTAAAAAACTTATTTGAGAAACAAACAACTACATCCCATTAATAGGAATAAGAGGAAACCTTATTTGCATGTCTATTAACTTGATGTATTGCTGATACTAGAGACCATCGAAAACAATTATTATCTCAATTTTAAACATTAACACAAGCGTGCTTTTTCTCGGTCTTTTCCGGTAATTTAATGTAAGAGGAACGGCCGTTACCCAACTCGTATTTATTAATATTAATTTCCAAATTTAAAATTTTATGTAGCCAGTCTGAGTCTTTCTTTTTAAATTCTCTTAATTTATTTAAAATTTTATCTACAAAAATCTCAGTAAACCAATTTTTTAAATCTACCCCAATATCTATAAGTACGTTTTTAGTAATAAACTATTTAATTTCGTTTATTATTTGATCTCCGCTCTTTTTAATAAATTCTCCCCCAAAGCAAGCATTTACTTTTACCAGGGGACTTTTTTTTAACCTTGATTTAAAGAGAAAAAATGCATAATTTAAAGTTTTAAATTTATAATCCCTGTACGAAAAAGTGATTAAAAACACTATTTAATATTTGCCATATGTACTCTGCTACCCCTATTATATTTTAATTCTGCCTCCCCAAACGATATTCAATGCTTTAACTATTGTTTTTTAAATTATTGACCTGCCCTAAATTAGTAATTAGATTACGCTGTGTACCTGTAGAATTCCTATGAGAAGTATCTCAACCTCACTACATTTTTTGCCCAATATTTCATAAACATTTCTTAACTTGTTGATAATTTTCGTGCTTACTTGGCACAGTTTTAAGTTTCATTTCTAAAAAACAAGGTAAGATCTGCACCAAAAATTATTTATTTGCATTTATCCTGACAGGTTCAAATATGAAATATAATTAATTTTAGGTAAAGTCCCTTTTTGTTAGGTACGAATCCGCAAAATATAAGACGGCCAGTAAAGGAAATTTTGTTTTATTTTTCTTAATTAGTTATTTTTAATATATGTGTATGTATGGGTATGTATATGTATATACATAAATATTATGTTTTTTTGTAATACTATAGGGTTAAGTGAAAGAGCAGTGAACTCCCTAGTTTGGGGTACTTACTGAACTTCGCCTTTTGTTTTTAATAAGTTTTTTACAATCAATAAAGACATTATTATTATTATTATTAATATTAAAGAAGTAGGCCTTTATTTACAGTTGTCGATTAGATTTTAACGTGTTATATGTTATTTAATTATTTAAAATGTGTTTATTCAACTTTTATTGATTAAAAAAATTTCGACCAAATGTTTAAAAAGTAAACTTGTGCCAACTAAGCCCGTAGGTGCTCAAGAACCTGTGGGCCCCCGTGCCCCCAGGAGGGCCAAAAGTCATCCTCACCCATTCGAGACTTCGAACCAAGCGACGTTGCAAAATTGTGAAAAAATTCCCAGAACCTGTGAATTTTGGAAACCAACCACAATTCAAACTACACAGTCCAGATTACAACCAGAACACCGACAAAAGAAGACCAACCCAACAACCTCCCTCACGTCAAAAAAGATAGACCCCAAGGTGAAAACAATTGTTGAGAACATGACCGCGAACTTATTTCCTAACTTTAGAACCAAAAAGACAAATACTGAAGCTTCCAACTCAAGCACAAAAAAATACTTATAGCCTACCACAACAAGTATCAAGAAGTGAACAGTCGGAAACAATAAAAAAACTCACAGAGGCTCTTATAAGAAAGGATAAGCAGATCGACGCCATGCAAAAACAACTCTCGGACATGGCAGAAGACAACAAATCCCTACGGAACAAAATTGATGAACTCATCGCTTAACTGGACAAGGCCATACCCACAAACAATGGCAAGTATAGAAAGAGGAAACTTTCGGATAAGGAAGCCCAACCATCTAAGAAAAATACCTCCAGCAAACTGTGAGACAAAAGAAAACCCTGCCTCGAGCAGCATACAAACCAAAGATACCAAACTAAATGAGGATACAGAAAATCATGCCTCAAAAAGTACCAAAAATACTGAACCCACAGAATATAAAGAAAATCCTCTAGTGGCTCAAAACTGCCCAACACAAAATACCCCGGGGATAAAGAAAATCATGCCTCCAAGATTCCACCTATAGTAATTAGAAAGCGAGATAAATAGACAATAATCGTCAGTGAACTAAAAAAAAAAGATAAAATTCCACAGAGCACAAACCACTGAAGAAGGAATAAGAGTCTTTCCCTCCTCTACAGACGACTTCCGCACCATTATAAGAAGCCAGTCTATTCCTTTCCACACATTCCATCTCCCTGAAGAAAACGTTCTGCACATTCTCATCCGAGGGATCCCCACCGAGATCAACACATGTGTCTAGAAGACCTAAAACACCATCTCCCTGAAGAAAAAGTTCTCCACATTCTCATCCGAGGAATCCCCACCGAGATCAACACCAAAGATGTGTCTAGAAGACCTAAAACCCCGAGGGTACCATCCATCCAATATACATACTATTACCAAGGGCCCAGAGAAGACACCCATGCCACTGAACCTGGTACTAGTACCCAGAACGGAAAAGGAAATATTTAACATCATAGCAGTCCTGGACCTGAAAGTGACCATAGAAACCCAACAAAAAAAGACAAAAATGAGCCAATCCTACCGCTGTCAACGAATTGGACACGGGCAGAGCAGATGTACGGCGTAGGTGGGGGAGAGAACCACTCGAACGAATGCGTAAAGCCCAAAACAGACCCACCCACCTGCGCAAACTGCGCTAAGGGGCACCCCGCCAACTATAGGGGCTTCAAAAAATATCCAAATCCAAAACCTAAAAAAGCACAGACCAAAAGAAGCCAATCCGTACAAAGTACAACCAACTATACCAACTAAGCCCAAGCAACCTTCGGTTGTACAGTCTCTGCAGACTCTACACCTCTCCGCCCAACTACAAGCATTCTCCAACCTGTTCCTACAAATGCAACAAATCGCCGGACAAATACAAAACATCCTGCCCAAAGCCATGTCGTCCATTACCCCCACTCATAATGCCTAACACTCGACAACCCAAATACTTAAAGACTGGAGGAATGCAGACAGTCTCACCATCCCCAACTACGAAACATACAACACAAACAGAACAAGAAGAGAAGGAGGAGGTACAGCCATCTTCATTAGAAGAAACTTAGAACACCATCAGTCTTACATACCTCCCCTGGATGACCTCGAGGCCAACTCCATCATAGTCAGAATATCCCACCTCGGCAACCTCAGGCTGGTATCGGCATATCACCCACCGCAACGCGCAACCACAATACCAGCCAACGCACAACAGTTGGAAACTGCTATCGTAGACCTGCAAGAGGTAATAACATCGTCCCTTCAGGAATCTACCAACGAAACGAGATATCCAGAAAGATAAAAAAGCTGATGTTGCTGAATAAAGTAAATTTTGTATACTAAAGTTTATAATTAAAAGTAAACGGTATTGTAACGTTGTTATGGTTCGACAGTGTCACTAATTTATTAACGAACTAAACGGTTTATTTTAAAACACTCACAAATAAAACTAACTAATCACTTAACTACTAATTATTTATATAGCACTACTGTACAATAGTTTATTTATTTGCAAGTATTTTTAATTTATTTCGTCGCGTATCAAAGCTTGACTGACTCGATGCTCCGCTGTGTCTTATATATTTATTGCGTACTTGACCCACTTCACACAATCACCTTTCTGAACCTTCCAGTAAGCTCCACACCGCTCGCGATTGTTAGAGCGTTGACTCATCGGCGATGAGTCATCAAGGACATTCCGAGTTTAAGACCGGTACTCGCTATATTGCTCCCATTGTGTCCCGAAAAATAAGAAGTGTGACATGGTCCTCAGCTCCATGGCGATATTTGCATAGAGATCCAAACCTACATTGTGACGTCCTATAGAAGTAGCAGTCTACGATCTTTATTCCGATTGTTCTTCTAGGGTTGTGGCAACAGACTAGAATGTGTATGCCACTAAATCTAAGGATAAGTTTCAACATACTTCTAATTATTCTCAAGTCTAAACCGTCAAGTCCACAAGCAATCTTTGGTATCGCCATGTTTCTGATGCTCTTGGACAAAAGGGTATTCCTCTATTTTTAAAAGGCATTCTATACGTCACAGTAGTTTGGCTTCTAATGGGAGAGCTGATTCGTCACAAGATAGAAGATGCTTCTCTTACCTATCTGCTCGCTACCACTATTTCAAGTACCTCTTCAACTTTGAGATTCTGCCTTCTCATTTCGTTGACTTGTCCAAACTTTTTTTAAAGACGACCGCTATTCCCTTGGACATCCAAAGATCTTCTGCAACACAGTGGGCTAAAGAGAAATCGGCTGAAACCCTGAACAGATCTTTTTGTTCTTCTCGAGTGACACCATACCAGATACATGAAGTCTTTAAAAGGCAACTTGTCTTCCAGCGGATTAACTCTCCTTACTCCAGCATCGTCTATTTGATCATTTTTTCCAGCGCAAGGAGCCAATCGGTTGAAATGGATCACTTTCGGCTTTCCTCTTGGTTGTTTCCTGATCCTGTAAATGATGTCATTTATGCGATTCATGGCTTGGTAAGGCCCTTCCCAAAAAGTTTGCAGTTTCGGCGAATAACCACGACAACGCTGAGGGTTGTAAAACTAAACTAAGTCTTCAGGTTAAAATCCTCCATTCTCCGCCTTGATGTTGGTACTCTGGATGTTTAAACGAATTTGGCTGTGAATGTCGATCATTTTACTACGTAAATTGCTGACATAATCTTCTCCAGCAAAATCTTCCCCTGGTAGGCAGCCAAATCTCAGGTCACAAGGTTAACGAAGTTCAGGTCCCATAACTATGCTGGCTGGCGTTTGGCCGGTTGTATCGTGGATAGAAGAACGGTAAGCCAAAAGGAACAGATGGAGGAAGCGATCCCAGCCTTTGATGATCAGAGACTACCTTCGACAGGTACCGGTTTATCGTTCGATTCATTCGTTCTACCATTCCATCAGACTGTGGGTGTAATGCGGTAGTCCTCGTCTTCTGAATGTTAAGAATGCTACAGACTTTCTGGAACCATTCAAAGTTCCTGCCGTTAATGCACCTCCATTGGGACACCATATCGACAAATCCACTCTTTAATAAGGGCATCGGCCACTGTGACAGCTTTCTCGTTTGACAAGGCGTAAGTTCCGCCCACTTGCTAAAGTAGTCCATTACAACGATGATCTATTTATTTACAGATTCTGTGTCCGGAAATAGACCCGCCACATCTATTGCAATTCTCTCAATTGAACTGCCTACACTGTACTGTCGCATTGTAGTTTTTGGGCGTTTCTGGGGTCCATTGCTTGCTGCGCAAACAGCGTACTTCTTGCACCATTTCTTGTTGACAGTTGACCCAGTAAAACCGCTCCCTAAGTTTTTCGAGCGTCCTTGTCGCCACAAGATGTCCTCCAATAGTTCCATCATGGATTTCCTGCACCACTTCCGGTATACTGTTTCTGGGGATTATTATCTACTTACGGTCTTTTCCCCCTTCTGGCAACTCCAGAAGGCGCTTTAGAAGTCCGTCACTTAAGAATATTGGGCGACTTCTTGCCACGTTGGTTTGTGCTTGCGAATAAACACATTCTTTTCTTCGGCCCTAAGGTAATGTTTACAGTCTTCCGGGAATGTTCTTCATGATAAGGCATCAGCATTTCTGTAAATGTTCCCAGCCCGATGTTCTATGCCAAAGTCTAACTCCTGTAGTTTTTTAATCCATCTTGCTACCTGTCCTTCGGGATTTTTAAATTGCAAAAGCCATTTTAGGGCAGCATGGTCTATTCTCAGAAAGAATTTTCTTCTATACATTCTGGTTTGGATAGAGTTTAACTAAAGTATCCAATAACTTTTTCTTTTCCTTTATGAATCTGTGACAAAACTGCTCCCAGGCCCACATTGCTGGAGTCCGTGTCCAAAATAAATCCACCATCCTGGAGAGGATAACTCAGGACTGGTAAGCTGGTCAACGCGTTTTTCAGGTCAAAAAAGGCTTCTTGGCACTCGTCGTCCCATTGGAATCGTCTCTCTCCCTCTATCAAACGTGAATCCTGGTACGTACCGATGATAGTAGGTGCTTAATCCTTTCTTGGAGCCTTTACAAAGTTGCAGGGGCATTACATAGTCCAAACGGCATGAATGTAAACTGCCACAGTCCTGCGCCCATGGTAAACGCCATCTGCTCTCTATCTATCAAATCGTGTTTTAAATCATTGACATTTTCCAGAATCTTTTGTTATAAATCGACTTTATAATCTTTAGAATGTTCTAGAATTTTCTGTTGTAACTCGTTAGAACTTTCCAGAATATTCTGTTTTAAATAGTTTAAATTTTGCAACAATAAATGCATTTCACACGGAGCTTACAGTATTTAGACCGTTTTTATATAAATTGCCCATTCTCTCCCTTAGCAACATTCAAAAGATTTTTTATAACCATATAAATTTTTCCTTTGTGTTGGTTGAAGCACAGTGATAATCTAGATGTCGTTCTTTCTGCTCTATACACCAAAGGTTGTGGTTGAGGCAGGAGACCTTCTCCTCGCCTCCTAGCATCGGCAGTGAAGTCGGCCACTTTAGATGTTCTACGTATGAACATACCGCCTTTATGTTGCACCATGTATGTATTTTTTTTTATAAATACGTTTCTGGATTCTCACCCTCCTGTTCTAACGCTTCGTGAAGGCGCTGGTGCAACAAATGTATGCCATTTTTGATATTCTTAACGGATAAATTTAGATATTTGTTCAGAAAATCCTTTTTGCCATACCAATTTTCAAGTGTTTCTCTATGGTAAATATCATGTTTTATTTCCTGTGTAGTGGGGTATCTATCCAATGATTTATGTACCCAATTTTTTACTTTTTTAAATGTTTCCATTTTATTTTAAGCTTTTAGTATTTCGCTTCTTGTTGGTGCTATATAGTGATTTTGATCAAACTAACACTAAATTTATAAAAACACTGAGTTTTATTTTTAAAATTATGTATTTATTTTTAGTGGTTTTATTCTTTTATTTGTTGAACAATTATTTTTAAATCGTTGTTTATCGCATAACACTTGACCCCATTTACTTATAGAATATACGAAGTATAATATTTCAAATAATTTAAACATTTGGAGTTTTTCTTCGTAATGTTTAATTAATTAATAACACTTGACCCCATATACTTATAGAATCTACGAATTATAATATTTCAAATAATTTAAACATTTGGATTTTTTCTTCGTAATGTTTAATTTGTCAAAATTAATGAAAGTTAGTCAAGTGTTGTAATGGGACGATATATGGGGCAGTTAATTTAACATTTCTTAATTTATTATTTTAATACTCTACGAAATATTAGACTAGTTCTAAATATTTACCTTAAAATTGTATAAACTGTTCATTAGTAACTTAATATTTATACGCATTTTGTTTAGAGTATGTAATTTATTAGGGCAATATTTAACCTACACGTCTAAGAGTTAGGGTCGTGTCAACACGTGATAAAAATAGTGTATAGTCTGATTTACTTAGAATGATATTTGTAAATAACTTAAAGAGCACTAATTGTAGACCTACGTGTTCATGTCTTTAAGCATATCATGATGCACTAGGGAGACTTACCAAAACCGCACGTATGTCTGAGCCATATCGGTAGATAGAGGAGGTTCTTACGTTCCAAAGGAACTATATCGATAGGCCTGTTTGGCTTTGATAAAATACACATAAAAACAGCGTGTTAAAAACTTAGAGAAGACAGTATTTTTTAGACAGTTACGTTTTACTATTTGAAGGGACGAGTTGAATTCTTTAATTTTATAAGGGAGTGAATTTAACCAATAATACATTGATTTTATATAAATTCAGTTTTTGTGAAAGTGTAGTTTATTTAAATAGGTATGTCGTTTCTATATCCCTTAACTAGTCGCGCAGATGCACTGAGTGCTAAGTTTTCATTAAAACCTCTATAACTTTTTGTCGTTTTCTTGGAATTAAATGCCCTTTCCATGTAACCTATGTCTGATGTGTCTACCATGCACTGTCGACGGCATATTCAGTTTAAACTACTAATTTCAAAGTTATGGACAGAAAACTTGAGATTGATTTAGAAATACTTCACTAAAACGTAACTAAATTTCAATTTTTGCAATATTTCTAAATCAACAAAATATGGAATTTAAAACCTAATGGTTTTTAAGGTATACATTTTTCTAAGAATACACAAATAAAAATAGAACGGCTAAATTTCATTCTGATTTCTTCTTTTCTGAGTAGAAGTAATAACTTTTTTGTTTGTTTTATTTTTTGTTATTTGCTTTTTGTTTCTTTTTAAAATTGTGTTTTAATAAAAATAGAGTTAATTTATCCGAATATA